GTCACAGATATAAAGGCTGGAGTGCCCAATAGAATTAATACAACTTTGTATTTCTTATAAATTTGTTACAAATACAACTTTTTATTTCTTAATTCTATTCAAAATAGGATTTGTTCCAAGAAATAGGGCATTCTAAAATTACAAATTGCTTGGTACCACCCACTTAACATACAATGAAAAGGAATTCATCTATATGTATGACTGAAACATTACGCTGTGCACCAGAAATTGACACAACATTGTAAACTATGTGTCAACTAAGAAAAATTTTTTTAAAAACCATTAAACCAATAATATAACAGTGAAACACTTGAGTTGCTTACAAAGAACAAAGGGAGCACTTCATCCTTCTGTACTGTTCCCAAATTATATACCGATAATTCACAGATCTGAAACGTGAAGTCACAAGGGATACATTATGAAGTAGGAAATCCATTTCCCTAACTTGAAAATTCCCCAGACTTTACTTTTGTGCCCACCACCCTTGTTTGACAGATTTGGTGTCACGATGGATGTGCAGTCAGACAGAGAATCACAGCTCCACGCTCACGGACTGTGCGACTTAATGCAAGTAACCTGCGTTCCTGAGTCTGCTCTCTCATGTGCAAGATGGAGATGACAGGACCTGCCTCGCAGGACCACTGGGAGCGCTGAACGTGGTAACACAGGCGGGGTTCAGAACAGTGCTCCCCCTCGGCACCGAGTCCAGCAGTTCACACTGTCTCCTCCTGACCTTTACACCCGCCTAGCGTGGAGCATCGCTCCCTCTGATGCAGACACCTTAAGCTTATCCGTTGCTTATGCATTCCAGTCATCTGGAATGACAAAAATACTCTGGGTGCAACCCTTTTTGTAATAAATATTACAGTTATCTGTGATGGTCTCCCAGGAAAGTTCTATAACCCTGCCAGTGCCTGAATAGCTGGGTTCAACTCTCATTAACACTTGTGGACTATAAACCAAAAAAAAAAAAAAAAAACTCAGTAATTTCAAGGGCAGAGGTGCAAAGCTCTAAATATCCCCATTCTCACGCTGGTGGGACACTGGTCAGGAAGGCGGGACTCAGCTCAGGGTGTGAACAGCAGGCTTCACGTGTCTCCACGTGTGAGGCTGGAGAGGAAGGGGCCTGGAGGGAACGCAGGGTGTTTTCCAACACAGCTAGACTAGCGCGGCCCGGGACCCTACAGACAAGCACATCCTTCTCAACTAAGACGGAGGGCGGTCACTGACCTCGGTAAGGGGTCATACCTCCAGAAGGACTCAATCAGAGAACGCCTGCTGTCACGGCGATTTCTGGTTCTTTCACAGCATCATTTTATAGGAGCATAGGCTCCCTTTTCCAGAAAACCTGCCACTACCTTCCATTAAATGGTACTCAAATAACAGGACCTACAACGGAGTCCCTAAGCTTGCCGGTTTCAAGCTTCTGAAGAGCCACTATAGAGAAAGTTTAAGAGCTATCCTTCTGCTGACTTCTTCTCTGTGTAATCTTGTAATCCCCTATGTTCTGTGTTTTGTTCCTGCACACACCCCCAGAAGGCATGTACACACACACATATATAACTGAGAAGACAGGAAGAAACTATTCCCGGGCCTCTGTGGCCATAAGAAGGGATACAGATGTACTGATGCTGTGAGCTCAGACTTTCCCTGACCAGTACTGGTCCCCCGAGAAAGCAACCAGCAGTGGGCAGGCAGTCTGGCTCACCAGTAATGAGGAAAACAAAATCTGACCTTGGCATCTAAACCTGCAAGGGTATATAAAAGGGTGTTCTTTTTCCTATTTTTGCCACCTACTCAGACCTACTGACGAGTATTCCAAGGTACCAGTTTTGTCTACCTGATTTTCAATGCATCCTAAAACCACCTGACGGTGGAGGCAGGGACTAGTCGCACAGTCCCATTTATGCACCCGGAATGAGCCGCCTCTCCTCCTGGTCTCCCCAGTGGGACAAACAGGAAGCCCACTCACCCGCATCCTCAGTTTGCAGCCCAGCCCTCCACCCTTATGTTAAGTAAGGACATCACGGAACATCACTATAAGTAAATCAACAGAAGCCCTCGGGCTAGGGTCCCATCCTTGAAACTTGTCTTAGGTTCTGGGTGACCAGCTGACTCCTTAGGCAAGGCCCTGAGGGTTCAAGAAAAGGAGCCTGAGAGAGGATAGAGCTCAGCGGTAGAGCACATGCTTAGCATGCATGAGATCCTGGGTTCAAAGCCCTGAACCGCCATTTAAAAAAAAAAGGAAGAAAAAAAAGCAACCCTTCCCAGTCCTTCCAAGGGTGAGGATGCTCAGGTTCAGGGTCAGTCAAAGGTCAGACCAGAACATCCAAAATCATTCAAGTTTAACTTCCTCATTTTATGTGTGAGTTAAAAGACCAACAGAAATGAAGTGGTTTCCTTAATCTCACAGAGCCGGAAAAGCCCTGTTCCAAGGACCAGTGAAGACCTAAGAAGAGACTTCCCCTTTTGCATCTCCTTGGAAGAAGCTTCTCAGTCGGCTCTGCACACCCACGGAGGGAATCCGGCCCCACGTGGCTGTGCCCTTGAACCACAGCCTTAGAAAGTCTGTGCACAGCATCACGGCGCTCAGCTCCGAGCTGGCCAGCAAGCAGAGCGATCTCGTTCTGTGTGCCCGAGAGTAGGTGAAAGGACCGAAGAGGGCAGCTCTTCCCAAGCTCTGCACGCCCTGCCCACAGCCTTCTGGAAGCAGAGCCTGGCAGGTTCAGATCAGAAGCTGCACCGTGGGGCCGGGTCTGTCCACCGGGAGCCTGAGGATGGCGCTGGTGCATCAGAAGGCCCCAATGACCTGGCAACCCAGATCTGGCTTGATTCTAACATTTTCTGTTATTAATTCCTACTTCTGTGCAAACGGGAGGTGCCCACAGGCCCGAGAGGCCTGTGATGTACCTGGATGCCTGCACACACTCCTCGGGTGCACTCCATCAAAGGGGGAAGACACGCCAAGCCCCAGCTCAAGGCCGGCGCTGGGCAGTCTGCAGTGTCCGCCTCTTTCCTCTTCGTAAGTTACAAGGTCAAATCAGCAGCACCAAACGTGAGGCGGAGGGCAATGAACCGGCACCTTCACACTGGGGTCCAAATTCCCTGGACCCTTTCTGCACACCCTCAGTTGCCCACCTTCATCACTGCCTTGTCTGCTTTACTCCCCAAGGACAGAAACCCACAGGCAGAGGGCACCAAAGTGAGTTAAGAAGCTTGAGGACAAAGGCCCACCAGGGTGTCTCGGGCAACGCACACGAGTGTTTCCACGAAAACAACTCTGGAGTCCACCAGATACACGACACAAAAATGCCTCTGAAAATAAAGAAGATGTAAAACTCTTAACAGTGTCCCACATTCTAAGGTCCAAGTGCCCATGAGATTTTCTTTAACCAATGAAATCAAATCTTGATTTTTTTTCCTCCTCCTAAAACTTCAAGTTTATTGATACTGAGCCAGTCTCCTCCTTGCAGTTACCTGCATCTGCGAGTTAAGACAGTAAGTTAACAAGCATCGTAACTCTTAACACGATGGAAGTGTTCAGCTGGATTTAGACTTGATCCCCCATCAACTTTATCTGCTTTTTTTGATGCTTTTTACTGATATTGATGGGGTTCAGGGCAGGCCCCTCCCAAAATAGGCCACTTTGGCAGACTGATTCTTTTGAATTCAAGTTACTTGAGAAACAGCCAGTGCAAGGACACTGACCCTCCTTTGTGGCCCTGAAAGCAGGAAACAAAGCTCCCGCGGGAAGGTGTCCTCCCTTCCCCGGAAGGATGGAGGGCGTCCTTATCACTGGAGAGTGGGAATCCGGGGCAGAGGAAGCGGTATCAACTTTGTTACTTCTTCATTAATCTGCCACTCCAAGCCCAAACCCTTTTGTTTTGTCAAATCTTCCACAAACAATCACTGATTTGTTTCAGAAGGTATGTAAACAGCTTGCTTCGGTCACTCTTTGGCCCCATACCTACGGGACCTCCGTACGGATGAAACGAACCATTTTGTTTCTCTCCTGTTAATCTTATGTCGATTTGATTATGAGACCAACCAACAGAACCTAGAAGGATAGAGGGAAATTCTTCCTCCCCGACAGTATTCCAACCAAAAGAAAGAGACTGTGAGAGCAAATCACATTAACACTAGCAGAAACCCAGTTTTCAGTACTCCCTCACAAACAAGCCGTCTCCAGAAGCATCTTCTATATAAGCAGAGCACATCTGCGCAACCTGGAGGCAAGGACAACCTTGACCCTATGGATAAATAAAGAGCAGAGAGGGGCAGGGAGAGGGTGTGAAATCTTGAGCTGAGCCTTAAAGCGCTCTCTCTTTCTCCGTATATTGTTTAAAAAAATACCACCCAAACCCGTAACAGAAGACACAAAACACTGTCATTCCTTTTGTTTTTTTCAACCACACTGCACTTGATAGATACCCTTTGAACATTTAGCATTTGCGTTAGGATATAATATGACACACAGGAAGAGCACTAAATCACTACCACCTACTTATATACTCTTGGGACAGTCTCTCTGAACTATTTAGTAATCTCTCTACTGCCTGAAAAAGGCAAATTTCATTTCATAGTTAGTCTGCAACAAAACCATTTCAAAGATACCCAACATAAATAGAGATATTGCAGTTACCTAATTCAATCTCCTGCCTACAGGCAGGTGTATCTCTACCACGCTTGAAAATGTGGGCACTTCATCCATCAGGAATGACTCATTTGTAGTAGGTCTAATCATCTGATGATTCATTGTAAGCCAAGTGCACCTTTAAAGAAGCTGTCTTATACACGGTGCATAATCACTTTGTCATAAACTTGTAAAATGCAGCCACCTCTGATCTTCAACACAGAACCAGAATAACCTTCTTGAAGAACATGCCTGATCACGTCCAGTCCATCAGGACCTTCCAGAACCTTCAGTTTCCCTCTGCCACAGATTAAAGGCAAAGTTCTTAGCCCAGCCATCAGGCCCCTCCAACCTGACCCCAACCTACCTCATTCCTCACTGTCCCAGGAGCTAGAGCCCAGGTGAAAGGAACTCAGGCCAAAGCCCACAGAGGGATGGGGAAAAATACAGGTACGTCAGGTCTGCTGCGGGCTAGACCCTGCCCAGGTGTCTGCATTTACATGATCTCACTGAATTCTCCCAACAATCGAATGCAGTCATTGCTTGTACAAATGAAGAAACAAAGACTTTAGCCAGATGGGGGGGGGGAACCTAGCTGAGATCACGTGACTAGGAAATGCTCAAGCCAGTGTCAGCAGTCTGGGGACACCCACTGCATGACCCCAAGAGGAACTGCCCCTTTCTTAACCTCAAAAGTAATCCTCCAAGTGGAAACAACCTAAATGTCCAGCGACAGATGGCTGTATAAAGAAGATGTGAGATATATATATACACACACACACATACAGTGGAATACTTACTACTTGGCTATAAAAAAGAATAAAA